GCAGGAATGGATACGGAGCCACAAACCGAGCCGGAGCAGGTCCCCCCGAGCGCGCGCGAGCCGAGCCGAACCGAACAGCCGAGCCGAGTCCCCTCCGCCAGAGCGCGCCACGAGTGTCGGTCCCCGTCACCGCTCCCCGCCATCGGCGCCATTTTGTAGTCAGTAGTCGGTCCGGCGTTCTTTTGGTGCCTTTCTCCTGTGATTTGTTTGTTTATTTATTCAGTGGTGTGGTATAGTGTGGATTTTATTATTGACTTTCTGTGAGTACCTTTGCGTTACGTTTATCCAAAATATTTGTTTGTCTCAATGTTCTAATGTATTTGTTTTGATTGCAGGATACTTGACCTAACCACCTAACCAATAACCAACAATGTTGTGTGACGTCTGCGGAAGGAATTTTAATGACGCATCTAATTTAAGAAGACACAAGTTGACGCACAATGTAGCAGGAAAATCTTTTCAATGTGGACAGTGTGACAAAACCTTCGCTCGCTCCGATCATTTGAAAAAGCATGCCCAAGCCATGCACGGAGTGAGGTTAGTTGCCCTGGAATATCCTCTTGTTTTGGTCGTAGATGGAGGCTTATTTAACGTTTCTGACTCGGACATTTCTGTCCTAAATAAGTTTGTTTTGGTTTTGACTCGGGCCCTTTGCCCTCATATGTGTATGGTGTAACTCTGACTCGGACATTTCTGTCTCAAATGTATTTGTTGTGGTTTCCTGACCTGGGCCTTTTGGCCTCAAGTGTAGTTTTGTTATCCTGACCTAGGCCTTTAAGCCTCTAATGTAATTTTGTTTTCATGACGTGGACTATTAAGTCTCCAAAGATGGTGATAGTGGTGAGCGAGGTTGCTGTAATGCTTGGGAGAACTGATCAGATAAGTAGAACTTCGAACTTCTATTTCGTATCGTTACCTTGATTTTAAAGTGTTTCTGTACATGTGAATTTCAAGTACTAATGTTAGTTCTCTTAATTTCAGGGAGGATGCTATAAAGGCAACTAACGACCCTAGCCTAAGTGAACATAAATGTCCACGGTGTGATAAGTCATATGCACACAAGTAAGTTTAACGGTTCGTTACTTCACTAACAAGGGAACCTTTTCAGGTGTAAATCTCCGATTTCGTTGGTACTCCGAAAATTTAAAGGTTATCATAATAGAAGTCGGATGGCACTTGAAATTTTTCCTAAACTTAACATTTACCAGGGGTTTACTTAAGCCTGACACTGTTTTTTGCTCCAAATATCCCTCTACCGCTTTAACGGTTCAAAATAGAGCAAAACGGACAAAATTTTGGCCCAAAGGACGCTACTTTGACGAGTTACCCCTTAGAACACTGCTCCACATTTTTCAAAAAATATTTTTTTCTAACACCTTACTCCTACCTTTTATAGGGGAAAACTGAATGTCAGGTTTAGGAAAAGTTTCAAGTGCCATCCGATTTCTACATAAATAACCTTCAAATTTTCCAAGTTTCAACGAAATCGGAGATTTACACCTGAAAAGGTTCCCGTAAGTGATTCTAATTATTGTATAATATTCCTAAAATGATACGTATTATAGGCCAAGCCTGCGGAGACACATGTTGAGCCATGAAAGAATCGAGAGAAGGCAGAGTCAGGAAGCACAAGTGATTGACAGGTAAGTGGCCTAATTATTTCATGTTGGTGCTTAGAGTGCAAGTCTCCTATTAATATCAACTTTGTTTTATTTCAGCGGTGTTGAGGTGATGGAATGTGGTGAAATGTCGGGTGAAGAAGTGCCCCAAGAATGTGTTGTGAGGTCATATTTGTGTTTGTTTGGTTCTGTTTTCTGTCTTGATATCAACTGTTCATTTTGTTATAGAGATGAAGTGACTGCAAATACTGGAGTGGTGAATGAGGAAGAGAGGGTTGTGGATGAATGCTTTGAAGGGTGGGTACTATCAGTAAAGCCTCTTTCTTTCCTTCATATCTTTCCCTTGTTGGTGTGTTCTAATCTAGTGCGTTACAGGGATGTTGAGGGACATGTTAATTTGACATGCCCAAAATGTGGTGAAAATTGTACTACATACATCAGATTGAGACAACACCTTGTGAATGAGCATGACTATAAATTGGACATAGAACAGAAAGATTTTAAAAGTTTGGACGAATTTTGGATCTGGGAAGAAAGCATGGAACAGAAGGAGTTTTGCAGTTTTAGTAATCGACGTGGAGTAAGATCTTTGAAATCAGGGAAGAAATATTACTTTGACTGTCATAGAAGTGGCGTCTTTACTTCGAAAGGAACTGGGAAGAAATTTAGACCGGCTGACAAACAGACCTGCAAAATTGGGTCTGTTTGTCCTGCAACTATTCATTTGACAGTATCGGACTCTGGTGTACATATGGAATGGTCAAAGGAGCACTTCGGACATGAGTGTGATATAAACTTTTTAAAATTGACCGCCACTGAAAGGACTTTTATTGCTGACAGACTCAAGAATGGCACCTCTTTTGATGTAATTTTAGATGACATAAGAGACTCAGTGGAAACAACCTTTGACTTTAGACGATTGCATTTACTGGACAAGAGAGATTTATGGAATATTTTAAGGAAGGTTGAATTTAAACATCGACATGCTCACAAGAATGATGCTATTAGTGTTAGTAGAGACATTGAAAAGAAGAGGAATCAACAACCCTGTGAGGTTTTATAAGAAACAAGGCGAACCCTGTAGCAGGGGTCCGTAACTTATCATAACGCAAACATACGTTAGTTACTGACTGTACCGAAATTGAAGTTATTTCTTAACGTTACGTTATTTATCGTATCAGTATGGCCTGCGTTATTTTTTATACGGTATCAAAATAACGAAGAAGTTTCGGGTACAGCCCTAGACTGTTAAGCATGTAACCAACCTAAGTTTGGTTTGTGAATAACTTATAACACGGATGGCGTGAGTTATAAGTTAGTGTTACAACTTTAACCGACGGCTTGCTGTTAACTAGTTTAGTTTATAACTTTAGTTCGGTTGGAGATTAACTGTTAACTGTATGTTACGATTACACCTTTAACAAACCGCTGAAAAAAGTTGAACCAGTGAAAGGGCCAAATACGCAGACACCGTGCCAAGATAAGCGTGTCCGGCTTCGGGGCCGAGATCGATTAGTGCCTTGCTCAAAAAGAAGAACTCGTCCTTCTGTCTAGCTTTTGCGGTAGGCGCTCGCTATCGTTCCGCCTCGGGTCGGGTTTGGGATTGGAGTGGGTGAGTGGGGTCGGCTGAGTCCCACCTGAGACTTGACTGGGTCTCGCTGTTTCCTCGCCTGGATCGTGAACAAATCTATGATGTCATCAGACCACATCCGAGGCAAATCCAGTCGAGACCGGAGCAGCTCAAAGAAAGAATGAAACTCAGGTTAAAAGCAACTCGCCAGCTTGGTTTCGATCCCACGATCGCTCGGTGATCGTCCGAGACGCGACCCACTGGGCCAGGACGGATCTGTGGAGACGGCGGGCAGCGCGCTGGTCTGGTTCGCTCGGCAGTCGCCGCCGGCCACCGCTTGCTGCTGCCGCCTGCCGGGGCGAACGGCGGGCGAACAACAGCGGTGCGTTGCCTGCCCCCTGCAGCGATCCGCTTTGGCTCAGAGGGTAGCGCCTCGAACACGCACCGTGCGGACGGGGGTTCGACACCAAGCAGGCGAGATGCTTTTACGGATTCTTATTTCTTAGAGCTGCTTCAGTGTCGATTGGATTTGGCCCGGATGGCGTGAGGGAGGCGGATTTGTCTACGATCCAGGTCAGAGCGGAGGTCTGCATCGGTCCACCAATCCCTGTGGCGTCCGAGACCGACAGGTGCCAGTGAGATGCCCGAGCGGTCTACACTCCATCTCACTCGCACATGTTACTTTTCATGCGCTCCCGGGACTGGTGGACCGACCTATGAAGACCTCTGGGTCAGAGCTGACGAGTACTTTGGCAAATTGCGATGCGTTTCGGTAGGTACGGGGCATACCAATGGAGCGCAGAGCGGTAGTAAGAAGAACAAAAACGGAAGGTTGAAAGGCTCCCTCTACTAGGCAGAGTGGAGGAGCGCCGGGGGGAATGTAGAGGGCAGACGGGGAGGAGTGCGGGCGCCTCCCCACTTTCCGATTTTGTTCTTCTGCTTTATCAGAATCGACAACGTTTTAAAAGTTACCGCTACGTTTGTTGGTTAACTATAAGTTATGTGTGATAACACTAACTTACATCGAGCTAGTTTCGAGTTATAACGTGAACGTTTTGGCAGTAACTTTTAACTCTCGAGTTTCATTTAATTGTTACAGTTAGTAACGCACAATCATCCGTTTACTAAATTGTTGTTAAATATGTAACGGGGATTGCGCTAACGTATACTTAAAGTTACATCGTATAACGTTAAGTGCCACGTACTCGTTACGAGTTTGACGTTCAACATTAACATTTAAATTAACGTTTAAGGCCCATTTTCAATAAGTTACGGACCCCTGCCCTGTAGCTGCACATATGACAGTTGTAAACTTGGAATTGATGACTTTATGATTATTTTATGCACTCCTTACCAGGAAGCAGAGTTCGGCAACTACCTTGAAGAAAAAGTTTTAATTGACAGTACCCATGGCACAAATGACTATGATTTTCAATTGACAACGTTGGCCACTGTTCACTCAGCTGGTGCAGGTGTGCCAGTTATGTACTGCATTTCCTCCTCTGTGTCTATTGACTCTATGACTCTATTTTTTAATGTTGCTAAGACCACTCTTTCCAAGAAAACAAGCACGAAGGTTTTTATGTCTGACATGGCTGGAGAGTTTTACACTGCCTGGAAGAATGTTTTTGGTGACGCTGACTTGAATCTATTTTGTACCTGGCATGTTGACAAGCGGTGGCGCCTCAAAGTGAAGGAACAAGTCAAGGGTGTGAGTAAGCAGGCTGAAGTGTACAGAGGATTGATTGCTGTGAGGAATGTTTTGGATAAAGAGTAGTTTGAGATTTCTATGGCTGGAATGCGACAAAGGTTAGAAGAAGACGAGGATACAAGACCATTTTTGGGATATTTTGACAAGTATGAACGCCAGAAGGAGAAATGGGCATACTGCTACAGGGCTGGCTGCGGACTCAACACAAATATGTATGTAGAAGCCTTTTTTAAGAAATTGAAATATTCCTATATGAAGGGGAAGAAGCTTCGCAGGGTTGATGAGTGCCTTCATATTTTACTTCGACTTAGCAGGGATGTGGCATTTGAGAGACTTAGACGCAAATTCAAAGGTAATAATACATTTAAACAATCTGAGATTCATCGTGCTCACAGGTTAAGTGATGAGATGTCTGGTGATTGGCTGCAAGAGAATGTGACTGAAGTGATTCCTGGAACTACATGGAGAGTGAGAACTTTTATCCCTAATTTGACTCATT